TGCAGACACACAAGTCACGGCATGTATATCTTTCCACCTAAAACAGGGTCTTTTCACCTTTGAAGATACCAGACTAGCTGACCTGGGAGTTTCTGGGGATCCCTCTGCCTCCAGTCTCTCCACAGTGGTGGACTAGGATTGGTGTAGGAGGGTCTTCTGCCTATGTGTTACTTTCATTGGTTAAATAAAGAGACTGCCTTGGCCGTTTGATAGGCCAGCCCTTAGGTGGGTGGAGTAGACAGAACAGAATTCTGGGAGAAAGAAAGCAGAGTCAGGCAGACACCATGGCTCTCCTCTCCAAGACGGATATAGGTTAGACTCATCCCGGTAAGCCACAGTCAAGTGGCAATACACATTAATAGAAATGGGTTAAGATGTGAGAGTTAGCCAATATGAGGCTAGAAATAATGGGCCAGGCAGTGTTTAAATGAATACAGTTTCTGTGTAATTATTTTGCGTAAAGCTAGCCGGGCAGGACAGAACAAGGGGCCCGCACTATTTTCAACACTAGGATTACTGATGTTTCCGTTTCTGTGTCTCACTGTCACATGGGTTCTGGAGATCTGAACTCAGTTCATCAGGCTTTCATGGCAAGAGCTTTTAGCCACCGAGCCACACCCACAGCACCACATCTGCTTTTGCTTTTGTGTTTTTGTTTCTGAGACAAGGTTTCTATTGGCTGTCCTGGAATTCCCTTTGTAGACCAGACTGGACTTGAGCACACAGAGATCAGCCTGCCTCTGCCTCTGCCTCCTGAGTGCTGGGATTAAAGGCGCGTACCACCACTGTTTGGCTAGCGCATCTACTTTTTAATAAATAAGGGTCATTAATATCTTTACCCAAAGCAGCAATTAATTATGCCATAATTTAATAGATATTTAATAGATACTCATAGAATGAATATGATGTTAACTAAGCATGGGACCCTGTCTCCAAAAAGAGGACGAAAAAAAAAATTAAAAGAAAAAAGTGGAAAGAATGGGCTCAGACACGGGCCAGAAAGCAGCTAAGCTTGACTGGAATTTATACTTCTGAACACTCGGCCAATCTCAGTTCCAGTGAATGTACAGGTGTGTGTAAAAAGGAACACAGGAGAAATAAGACTGGAAAGATGGTGGGGAGCGGGCTGTAGACAGCCCTGAGCCCAGCAGCAGTCGCTAATGGTTTTCCTTCCTCCTGCTCCCACACAGCCGCCAGAGTGGTTTTTCTGCACTGCAGATCTGATTAAGTCCTTCTAATCATCCAGGACTCTTCAGGCATTTTCAGTTGAAGATAGTATTCAAGCCGCTTAGCATCATCTGCAAGCCTCATCCCCTTGTGTCTGCCTGCCATCTCAGCGAACCTTTGTAGCTTCTTAAATGCAGAATCCCCCCTGCATTTCCTCTCACCTCATATATCTCTTAGCAACAATCCCATAATTTACCCCTCTCATCCAGATAGCCAATTGTCTTGTCATTGCTTTGCAAATTTATTATTCTTTGTCTAAAGAATATAAAAGCATCATGCTTTGGGCATTTCTTCAGATTTCATTCAGATCCCCATATACATGTAAATTTAATAAAACTTTATGCTTTTTCTCTTATTAATCAGTTCTTATACTAACTAGTTGGGTCCCTTGATCCAGCCAAAGAGCCCACATAAGAACTAAGAGGGGGTCGAGAGGGCCTCTTTCCCCTCCACACTCATCTAGGTGGTAAGTGATGGAATCACGTATGTCTAACCACAGATCCGACATTCTTCCAGCTTCACTGTCCTATCTTCTTTATACAAAGAACTGCGTCTAACTGATGAGAATAGGCCCTGTGAACAATTAAAGAACAATGAAGTACTGAACAATGTCCATGGTATTGAATGGAAGAGCAAAGCGGGGTTCAAAGAGGGAGAGCACACCATTTGGGCTGTCCTGGCTGAAAGAAAAAAAGGGGGGCTCAGAACCAGCCTTTGTGTGGGGCCTGGAGGAAGAGTGAGACAGAACCAGGGTGGTTGAGAGGAAGAAATGGCAGATGAGCAGAATGATACATAAGCAAGAGAGAAGGAAGGGGATGGAGTCCATATGAAGTTTTCTCCATTGAGAGTGAGGCTGGGGAGCCTTTAATCCCAGCAAAGAGGCAAAGGCAGACAGATCGCTGAGTTCAAGGCCAGCCTGGTCTATATAGTAAGTTCCAGGACAGCCAGGGCTACACAGAGAAACCCTGTCTCAAGAAAGAAAGAGAGGAGGGGGAACAAAAGAAAGTGAGGCTGGGGTACAAAACAAGTGGATTTTCTGAAGGGCACATAAAGTGAAACTTGATGAGAAAATAGATCAGGAAAGAGGGGGACAAAGATGGAGACCACGAGTCTCTTCTAGAGAAGATGTCCCTGGAGGAAGGCCTATGGCAGAGTCAAGTTCTGTCCTTACCTCTGTGCTAGGGGAAAGGGGGGTTCTACTAGTGTGGATGATTCTACTCAATGTCCTATTCAGAGAGGGTCTTCGAGGAGGGAAAGAAACATCCATCTGTCTGCTCAGCCAGTCTCTGTTGCTGTATCTGTCTGTCTGTGAGTCTTTCAGTGTGCAGGCTGTGATCATGGTGTTCAAAGAAAAGGGATTTTTTTTAAAACATGAGCCCTGGAGTCAGCCTAATATAGACTAGCTTATTCTGCTGCAGGTTGAAAGAGGAGATCAGAGGAAAGAGAGAGGAAGAGATGGGAGAAGGGAACTTTGACTTTTGTTTTGTTTTTTGAAGTCTGGTTTTAGATCTAAACCACTTGTAATATAGCACCCTACTGCAGCTGGGAATGGTGGCTCATGCGAGTAATCCCAGCACTTGGGTGTCCATAGGCTCACTGAAAACTCAATGTCAGCCTGGGCAACATTGTGAGTTCCGGGTCAGCATGAGCTACGTGGTTTTTTGTTTGCTTGTTTGGTTTGGTTTTCTTGAGACAAGGTTTCTCTGTAGCTTTGGAGCCTGTCCTGGAACTAGCTCTTGTAGACCAAGCTGGCCTCGAACTCACAGAGATCCAACTGCCTCTGCCTCCTGAGTGCTGGGATTAAAGGTGTGCGCCACCACCATCCCGCTCAGTGTGGGCTACATGTGAGAGCTTGTTTGAAAAAAAGAAAATTCAAAACCAAAAGAAGTAACGCCCCCCCCCACACACAAAACAAAAAGCCTTGGGTTGAGCAGAAAACTTTCAACTCATACTAGGTTAAAACAAGGGAAACACTGGTTTATGTGGAAGTCCAGGTATGAGATGGTCTTCAGGTGAGACCTGATCTGTGTTACCAATTTTTTTTTTTATTTTTATGTTTTTGACCCGGGGATGGGGTCTTAGTAATAGCCCAGACTGATCTTGAACTCACTATGTAGCCAAGGATGACCCTAGACTTCTCCTTCTCCTGAATGCTAAGGTTATAGGCATATTTACCCCAATTTATATAGTGCTGGGAAGTGAACCCACAGCTCTGAGTGTGCTAGGTGAGTGCTCTGCCAACTGAGCTACCCAGCCCCGTTGTGTGTATTCTGTCCCCGCTGTTTGGAAGAGTCAGCCTGTAGATGAGTGCAAACCACGGTTGCAGTCCATTCCTCTCACTTTACCAGGAAAGCAACTAGAACCTGCCAAAAAGAGCAATTTTGCCCAGAATTGTACATCTTCATTAATGCTGAGCCAAGACTAAAAAGACAGTGGTCGGGCCAGTGCCCACTCTCAACTAACGAGGCTCTGTGAAAGAAATCTGGTGGTGAGTTTATGACAGGCAGTGCTGTGACAAAAAGGAAAATATGAGGCAGTCAGGACCGGCATCAGGGCCACATGGGTGTGTGGATCTCTAAAAGTCAGAACCATCCCCTACAACGTCAAGACTGGAAGAGGTGGAGGCCAATTGCTTGGCTCTTCTCCTGTAATGTAACAGACATGCAGAAAACCTGTTACAACTGTCTTAGTGTCTCTATTGCTGCATTAGAACACCAAGACCAAAAGCAACTTGGTGAGAGAAGGGTTTATTCCAGGTTACAAATCTCAGGTCCATCATCAGAGAAAGTCAGGAAGCTTCTGGAGGCAGGAACTGAATCAGATGCCATGGAGGAATTACTGCTTCCTGTCTTGCTCTTCATGGTTTATTCATCACGCTTTCTTATAGCACCCAAGATGGCCAACCCCGGGGTGGTACTGTCCTCAGTGAGCTGGGCCCTCCCATATCAATCATCAATCAAGAAAATGCACCACAGGCTCGCCCACAGGCCAGTCTGGTGGGGGCAGTTTCTCAATTGAAGTTCCCTCTTCCCAAATGACTCTGACTGGTGTCACAGTGACATAAAACTAGCCAGCACACCAAGTGGAGAGGAGGAGGCTGGAGCTGATCAGACAGCTGCACAGGGAGCCCGGGAGTAGGATCAGGGTGAGAAAACTGTGCTATTCTCTTCTGCCCTGCATTATTTGTGTCTCAGGTGGAGGAAACCTTGGAAAAGCAGACCCAGGCTTTTCCAAAACCAGAGAGGGGAATGGGGCAGTGGGGTGGGGAGGGGTGGGGCTCCCATAGTGACAGAAGGCATTTGAAGGAAAAAAACCTGCTAAAATCCATCTGCCGCTTCAAACTCCAACTAGCCAATAAAGAAATCTGTTTAGCTGATGTTGCCATGTCCTGACGATCCCTCTGGGGCTGCAGGGTATCTGATCTATGAGATGATCCACTCATAGCTCCTCTCACTGAGCTTTAACTTGTATTCTTTTCGCCTTAGTGAGACCTCTGCCACCGTGAGGCATCCTGGGTGGGGGGCGGGGGGGTTCGACAGCTCTGCCTAGGCCTAAGGTCTCCTGGGACCTCTGCTTATACAGGAAAAAGAAAGGAAAAGAAAGAGAGAAAAGAAAAAAGAAAAGAAAAGAAAAAAGAAAAGAAGTCAGTACTCCACCCTCTGGACAGCACAAACCAACACAATACATTCTTGCTCTCTTTGCTTCAATCCCTCCCTTCCTCATCTCTTTCTTCTCCCCATCTCTCCTTTTCTGTCATCTCCCTACATCAGCATCCCTGCCCTCAGGCTTGCTAAACTTACAGTCCTGCTGAGATACTTGTGTAGCCGAATCAGCCAGCCAACCCAAAGGCACACCCTTCTACCACGATCTTCTCGCCAAACCCACCACCGGCCACCTTCTCTGTACAATAGGCTTCTCAGGATGGATGTCACTCGCCTGCTCCTGGCCACCCTAGTGGGCTTCTTATGCTTCCTTACTGTCTACAGTCACCTGGGACCCGAGGAGACGCTCAGAGATGACAGGAATCTCAGGAGCAACTCCTCCGTGAACTCGTTGGATTTCTCTTCAGTTTCGATTGTGGGTAAGTAGCCTGGCCTGGGACCCAGCCTCTAGGCTCTGACCCATGAGAGCAGGGACAGCATGTCAAGCCTGTTGTCCAGGCTGCTACCAGCACAGCTATGGCTTTATCTTGCTCAGTCTTAGGGAAATACAGTAGCCTTGAGTCCTTGGGTTTAGGAAAGCTCTGCACGCCACTAATTTAGTGTGTCAGAGATCTGAAGAAGCCTCACATCAAGATGCTTGGCGGACTTGGTCTGACTTAGCATTTATAAAACTCCTCAACAAAGCAAACGTTAGGAAAACCATGGAACAGAACTAAGTCTGCAATAAACCAGTCCTGCATGGGATGGGAAGTTACAAGGAGCACCAAAGTCTGGCATTGGAGATCCGGTGGATTGATCTCACCTAATCATAAAGCACATGGGCTAAGGATGAAGCATGGTGGCAGAGCGCATGCTTATCATGCATGACACCTGCATTCAGTTCCTGTAACCAAAATAAAAGTAAGCACACATAGGTTCTGTGAAGCGGCTCTTAGCTTTATTTGTATTTTACCACTGACAAGACTGGAGCTTACAGACAGTAGTTCCCAATGGGCCGAGCCAGAACTCAGACAGGTGAATTACACATGTGTGCTCACAACTCATTGACTTGCATTTCACTGGTCACAAAAAGAGGGCCTAGAGCAGCCATTTTCAAGCTTCCTAATGCTACAACCCTTTAATGCAGTTCCTCATGTTGCGGTGACCCTCAGTTACTGTCATTGCTACTTCATAACTATCATTTTGCTACTGTTATAAGTTGTAATGGAAATATTTTTGGACATGGGGGTTTGCCAAAGTGGTCACAACCCACAGGTAGAGAATCTCTGGTCTGGGGAGTCAAAGGAGGGAAAAGGAGAGACACCAATATTCCTTAATCACCATGGATATGTCAGACTTTTAAAAAATATTTTAATTTTATGTAAATGGATGCTCTGCCTTCTTGTATGTGCAGGCCTAGTACCCTCAGAGCCCCTGGAACTGGAGTTATAGGCAGTTGTGAGTCACCAGTCAGTGCCGGGAAACAAACCTGGGTCCTCTGGAAGTGCATCAAGTGCTCTTAACAGCTGAGCCATCTCTCCGGGCCCATGTCAGACTTTTTGTTTTATAAATATACTTTACTTATGATAGAAACCTTTTTGTAGATGAGGAAACTGATTACCAGAGAAACGACACAGCTGTTATATGGATTCAAGGCAGGTGTGCCTGGCTCTGTGCTTTGAGAATAATATATGTAACACAGATGTGTCCAGTAACAAAAGGCCAAGTCCATTTTCAGAGGCTTACAATACTCCTGCACCTGCAAGGTTAAAGGCTAAAATGGGCACCTGTGGTGATCAAGGGCCAGCAAGGTCAAAAGACCAGGTCCAGGTCTCTAACAGATGCCACAGACACGTTCCAGGTCCCTCTTGGATGTCCTCTTTGCCTCCACTCGGAGCACACTGCTCTTTAGGTTTGAAGCCAGGCTAATAAGAACCTGCTGGTTGAATTCCCATAACATGATTCATCCCAAAGTTCCTCTTTCTCTCCACTCTGAGACTTCCCAGCGCCCCCTTTGCTCCTCCCACTTCACAACTCGGGCCCCCAGTAACATCTGGCTTTGCTCCATCTGTCTTCTTTGAAGCACTGAACAAGAAATCCAAGAGGATCAGCAGAAAAGAAGCCGAGAAACGGAAGAGATCATCCAAGGTAGGCCTGGGAGTTCTCACGGCGGAGTGGGAGACCTGCAAGCCAAGGCTGAGACCCAAATGGAAGGTATCTCCAGGCCTACATGAAACAAAATAACTGAAAACTTCCTAGCGGTTTCCTGGCCTAGAGCCTTGCGGCAGACTTCCATTCAAGTCAGAGAGCCTAAGTTCACTGAGCAAGAGAGCTACCTGCTAAAAAAAAAAAAAAGTTTTCAGTTCTAGTTAAGCACCCCCACCCCTTCCATTCTTTTGGGTATTTACCTAAACCCCAACTGCCGCAGAACCACCCTAGCTGTCTAGCTGTGTATCTGAGTTTTTTCCCCTCCTCCTTTGCAGGGCCTTGTGCAAGCTAGGCAAGCATTCCACCACTGAGCCATGCTCTCAGCCCTAGACCAGCAAGCTTTGCTCTGTAGTGCAGGCTGCCCTTAAACTAACCACCCTCCTTGTCCAGAGCTCTCTGAGTGCTGAGATTACAGGTCCAGGCCACTGCGCCCAGCTTTCTTACCTGCTTAAAAATCAGAAGATGCCAAGATTAGAAAATAAAAGTCGGGTGTGGTGGCACACAGCTGTACTCCCTGTATGTGGGAGGTGGAAGCAGGAAGAGCAGGAGTTCACGGCCATCCCAAACTACATGCCAAGTTCTCAGTGAGCCTGGGCTGCACAACCACTGAAAAACAGAAGTATGACAGAAAACTAGTATCACTTGCTGTAGCCAGACTAAAAGACTCAATTAAAATAAAACACTGTTTGCTGAACCTAGCAGCACAGGCTTGTAATCTCAGCTGCTTAGGAGGCTGAGACAGGGGGATCCCCAGTTCAAGGGCTGCTGGAGCTATCCAGCAAATTCAAGGCCCATCTGGGCAAAAAGACTGTCACAAAATAAACATTTCAAAAAGGGTGGAGATACAGTGAATAAAGTTTGCTTATAACAAAAGGCCTGAGTTCAATTCCCACAATGGGAATATATATATATATATTCCATGTGTGTGTGTGTATACATTTTTTTCCTATGATATAGCCATAGGAAGGGCCTTCCTTGGTGCACTGGAGGATGTTAACTCTAGAGGCCAGGGCCACTAAGGGGAAGAAGGTAATGACAGGCAGTGTATGACAGGGATGGTGGATGAGACCTGAAAAGAAGCCGGAAGGTGTTTAAAACTTGGGGCTGAGTGATCTCCCAAGGGCCAGGTCGGCGCTAGGTGAGCCTGAAGATGAAGGCGGTGTGCAGGTTGGGGCGGCGGCCAGGGACCCACCAGCATGGCCTGTGCGTATGAGCAGAGCTGGGCAGCAGGGCAGAGATCTCTGGTCCCAGACCTCCATAGCAGATGGGAACGAGGGCCCAGAGAGGGCCGCTCAGCAACCCTCGACGTCTCTCCTACAGATGAACGCTTCGTTGAAGGAGGCACGGCCCCCGCCACCCACGCCCTGCGTGGCCACCCGAGACAGCTGCAAGCCGCCTGCGCCCGCCTGCTGCGACCCGTGCGCCTCTTGCCAGTGCCGCTTCTTCCGCAGCGCCTGCGCCTGCCGCGTACTCAACCCCTACTGCTGAACCCGCTCCCGCGCTGCGCGCGCAGCCTCCGGGATGGATGACTGGGCGGGGCTTCAGGGTCAGCGGGGCTTCCAGGCTGAGGGCTGGGTCTCTGGTGGGTGGGACTTCGTGGGTGGGCGTGGCCTGTAGTTGTAGGCGCTGGCTGCTTTCTGAAGACAGGTTTTCTAGGAATCCTAATGGAGGCTAAAATCAGAATACAGTATCTTTAGGCTGCTGGGAAAGCGTGGCTGTTTCTTTAAAAGAACCGAAAGCTTCCGGCCCCTTTACCGAGCTCTGGTCCTTGCGGGGACCCCGAGGACTGAGCTCGCGCCGCTCTCCAGCCGGTAGGGAAAATTGCACGTGGTTGGTACCTCTGTCTCTTGTAGTGGACACGATGCTGCCCGACTCCTTCCAGCCTTCCGGTACCGGCTGCTTCCGGACCAAGACAAAGGAACCATTAGGGAACGGTCTTGCTTGCAGTCTTTTCACCCATTCTCCTCCTGGGGAGGAGCACAAAAATCCAAGACGTGCTAAAAGTCCACGAGCAGTCTCAATCGGGTGGCTGCGGGATCATGCGTTTGCTGCGGATTTCTAAAGCCAGAAGGCTCTGGGTTGAGGATCCCAGAACTTTTAAGAGGCTCCCGAACAAAGGCACTAATGAAATTAACTCCTCCCGGGCTCCCAAGGGCACACAACTGTTTAGACCTTAGAGTTTTTCTTACGACAGGCATTTTTTTGTTCGTTTGTTCACTTCTAATAGCCTAGAGTTTGGACTCCTAAAGAAGCAAAATTTACACAACCTTCCTCGATCTTCACCCTAGTTCCGTTGGCCGATAAAGCAGTGTGGAGGGCGGGGGCTGAAAAGAAGCGACAGTCGCACTAATTTATATTTTTTAATTGCCAAAAATGTTCAGGCTGTGTCCCGAAATCCCACAGAGTCTCAGTCTGTGAGAAGCTGAGGTGCAACGTTGTAACTCTGGAAGAACCGTGGGAGGGAAAGCACCTGGAGAAAGGAGGCAGTTTGGGGAGCAGGTTCGGTAAGAAAGGACGAGCAGGAAGGGGGCATATAGAGGAAGGGCTCTAGATAATGTCATGTACTCGTCCTTGAGTGGGGCGCCTGTGCCATTAGCGCTAGGGGAAAAGGCTGAGAAGAGCATTCAGAGGGCTCCATCACCTAGCCTGAGCTGCCCCCACCTGCAAACTACTACAGTGCAAATTACTACCAAAAGAAAACCAAGAAAAAGGGCCTTGCCAAAAAAGATTCTATAGAGAGACTTTAAGAGAGAAACGAAACCACCATGTGGCTCTCTATTGGTGGATTAGGAGGGTGAAGACAGGTGTGACCAGATTTTCAGGACTTTGTGTCCATTTGCTGTTGTTCTTTCAAATGCCTTAAACGTGCTGGCAAGATGGCTCACAAGCCTGCCAGTCTAAATTCAATCCCCAGGACACGTGTAAAGTAAAGGGAAAGCAGACTCCTCAGAGTTGTCTAACTGCCTCAGTACACATGCGTCCTCACACACAGTCTGTCACAGTACACATGTGTCCTCACACACACATCTCACAGTCTAACTGCCACGGTACACATGTGTCCTCACACACATCACACACAGTCTAACTGCCACACTACACATGTGTCCTCACACACACATCACACGCAGTCTAAAGTGTAATAAGTATAAGTTTCACTCCTCCAGATCACCCTCCTTGCCGCAGACCTTTTCTCAAATAGAGCCCCAGGCTGTGCCTTTGGTGACATACTTAACTCACCTAGTATGGAAATGCCAAGGCAAACACCTCTACCCAGCCACCACCTGACAGGGCACAAGAAAAGGCGGGTGCTCCAGGCAGAGCTGTCCACACAGTGCTGACACTGGGAAAATCCTTATGTCTGTATCGCTCGCTTATCTTTAAAATGAGAAGTAATTCCAGCTGTTCTTAGTAAAAGTCCAGGAAGTTGCTATTTCTCCATGCCTTAGTGCAGCACCATAATACACCCACGTGCATGCTCACCCACGTCTGTGCTCATCCATGTCCATGCTCAGAAAAGCTGCCCGTTGTTTGCTTTGTTTTCTGGCACTTAGGCTGCAAGCCCACAAGGCAAGAACGTTTTGTTCCTTGTACCACAGCTGCTGCTGAGCAAATGTCATCAGTAATGAGAATACTGGGAACACACTGCAGCAACCACTCCTGCATTTTCCAAACACTGTTCACACACCAGGTACTAGCTGGCTCCCGGCAGTGAAACAGGGATGACAAGCTGAACCCTCAGCCCATTTGTTCTTGCTTTGTGCGGGTTTGTTTTTGATGTTGGTTTTGTTTTGAAACAAGATGGTACTATGTGTAGCTCTGGCTGGAGGTGAACTCATAGAGATCGCCTGCCTCTACCTCCTACCACTGGAACTTAAGGCAGATGCCACCACCCCTGCAGCCCACTAGTTACAAAGTCATTGAGTTCCTGGTAGACAACCTGGAAGACCAGTCCAGTGATTCACTCATTCAGTGTGTGTGTTGGCCACCTACTGTATGCTGGGTACTGTAACTACCCTAATGGAAAACTCCAGTATGGGTATTGTCCCGTGTGTCTGACCACTGATTCTCAAAAGAGGTTAAGAATAATTGTTGTCGGGTGGTGGTGGCATGCGCCTTTAATCCCAGCACTCAGAAGGCAGAGGCAGACAGATCTCTGAGTTCAAAGCCAGCCTGGTCTACAGAGTGAGTTCCAGGACAGCTAGGACTGTTGCACAGAGAAACCCTGTCTCGAAAAACCAAAAAAAAGAAGAAGAAGGAGGAGAAGAAGGAGAAGAAGAAGAACAAGAAGAAGAACAAGAAGAACAAGAAGAAGAAGAAGAAGAACAAGAAGAAGATCAATTGTTAGCCTGTGGGTTCGCTTCCCTCACACTTAACTCTTGACTCAGACCCCTAGTTAGGTGCTTACCTCTTACCTGCCAAGTTTTCCTTCAGCTCTAAGATACCGGGTTGTTCTACCCTGTCAGAATTCCTCCATAAGCTTTAGAGTCCACTTTGGTGACGAGAACTGAAGCTGACATTTATATAAAAAAGTTATGATTGTATATTATGAAGATAGGAGTCCTCTAGTCCATCTCCACACACACACTCTGGGTAAACTATGTCCTGGCAAGACTTATTCTTCCATTCATTTCTTCTCACAGCCACAACCTTAAACTTGTACACCTAAAGTTCTTATAATGTGACCTGGAACAAATCACAATGGTTTTCTGACATGACAGGAGCTGGAGGTGGATATGTGGCGTGAATTCTAATTGGCCTTATCAATCAAAACCTGGAGTCAGATAGTGGGGGTGAAAGCTGAAAGATCAGAGAAGCAGAGCAGCAGCCACTAGAGTTCTTACCTTTACGAAATTCTCGGGCGTAAAGGGAAAGATCCTGTCTCTATGAGCTCAGCTCAGTCTGAATGCCCTGAGCTCCTGTCTCCTCCCACCCTACATCCCTCTCTCCCAACCACATCTCTTCCTGTCTCTACCTTCCTAGTTCTGGGATTAAAGGCGTCTGACTCCCAAATACTGAGATTAGAGGTGTAAGCCATCACTGCCTGTCTCTGTTTCTCTTTTAGGCTGGATCAATCTCATGTGGTCTTGAACTCACAATCTGTCTGCCTCTGTCTCCCAAATGCTAGGATTAAAAAGGTATGTGCTACCCAGCCTCTATGGTTAACTAGTGTGGCTAGCTCTGCACTTTGATCTTCAGACAAGCTTTATTTGTTAAAGCACAAACAAAATATTGTCACGGGGGAAGAGGGTGTCTCATGTAACCCAGGCTGACCCCATCTAGGCTGGCTTTGAACTTACGATCCTCCTGCCTCTGTCTCCTAAGTGCTTGATGACATGCATGCAGAATCCATATGTGGCTTATGATGTATACACTGCTGGGATGCACTCCAGGGCTTGATGTTTGCTAAACGAACTCTCCACCAACCTCCCTATATCCTCAGCCCCAGAAGTTGAAGTCCTAAGTGAGAATCTCATAGAGTGCACATGAAAGCATTTTATCAATATAATGTTCTAATAATGCACACAAAAACATTGAAATCCATGACTAGATGCCACCATTTGCCCTCCTATATCAGCCTCGTCAACCAGCCAGTCCTTTAGTTTGGTTTTGGGAGAAAGTTTCAATCACCAGGAGATGTATGGTTTCAGCAGGCCACCCCTTTACCTCAGGCGGCCTCCTGTTAAGTGGAAACAGCAGGGTTTATGTCAGAATTTGGTCCAGGTGGGTTTTCAACATGTCAGACTTTCATGCATAGAAGATTTAAACATACATGTTTTTATTACATCTTTTTAAAGGCTTTGATATTTTTAAAAGAAATTAAGGCTTATGATATCACCAAAGCAGTATACTTCAAAAAAAAAAAAAATTAGTAGTCTCGGAGGCAGAAGGCCCCAGGGCTCCAGATGCCTTAAACTGTGGATGTTCGGTCAATCTAACTGGCAATCGCTAGGTCCTGATTCTAAACTCTTCCATCTGTTTCAAGAAGCACAGATGCAGACCACTACTCACTGACAGGAAATTACCCTTCTCCAAGAGGAGCTTCATAAAGAAACCTAGTTCCCAAAGCCAATTCCCACATGTGGAGGGAACTCGATAAGTGAAGGTCAGAAAGTGATTGCAACCAAATTAGCCAAACCATCTGTAGTAACTTTCAGATTCCTCTAGAGTAGACTTTTTACACTTAGACATGTGCGTTGAAGAAGAGAAGGCAGTTGAAAAGGAATGGGGTGGGGTTTTTTTGTTGTTGTTGTTGTTTTATCAAGTAAAATATTTCAAAATCATAAAATGTTGTATTCATTCCAGAGGGAAATTTTCTCCTGATAGCTTGCAGAAAAACAGTAAGAGTTGCATCCTGGAGTTGGCTCCACTGGTGCTGATGATGCTTGGCTGCTGGCTGCCTTCTTATTGGGGAAGCTCAGCCAACACCCTCCTCCATTTGAGTCTTAAAGGTTTTCACACCTTCCAGATACCTCTTTAGAATTCCTCTGCCCCATGGCTGTGTAGACTATGGGAGCAACAGTAAAATTATAGCTACGTGAGTCACACTCAGCTTCCGAGTTCACTACACCAGATTTCTAGCAAAATCCCTAACGCTCTGTGTTTGAGTCTGGGCCAACTTGAATCACGTGTTTATTCTTAAGCCAGTTTGTGGAGCTGTAAAATGCATTAATTGAAGTTAGTTGGCTAAGCCTGGATTACGTGAGCACCCTGGTTGCTTTGCGCAGGTCTCCTGGCTTTGTCTCCCGGGATAGGGTTGAGTCTCCGGGATGAGACTCTGGCTTCCTGGAACTTCAGACCTCCAAGACAGAGCTAAGCATTTACTACCTGCTGCCTCCTGGGCTTCAATCTAAACTTCCTCCAGCCGGCTAAGTCCACTAAGCTCTCCATTATTATTCCAGCTAAGATTGAGGAGTCTTCCCCCCAACAGCATGCCACCTCGAGGCAGGAAGTACCCAGACCTGCAAGGTGACTTCAGATAAACCTCCAAAGCTCTGGGGTGTCATGTCTCCACATCGAAACACTGACTTCTCCTTCAGCGATGCTCTCAGGTACTTCTTACTACTGGACCTTTGCCTCCTGACACAAAGGCAAATACCATGCCCTGAAATTTAAACAGGGCTTTTTTCAGAGCCGACAGTCTGAGATGTTGGGTTACCATCCTTAAACTCTGCCGTCCATCTACACAGCAGCCAGCAGATTACACAGGAAGGGAAACAGGCAGTCACTCCAGAGTTGAGCCTTGCCCCCTCTGTTCCGGTGGCCAGTCTCCCCAGAGATCTGTGGTGCAGGGGTATCTCTCATCACCCCCACTCTGTAGCAGGGGAGGACTTGCTCTCCCTGTTTATTGTCTCTGTGTACGTGGGAGGGCTGGCATACGCCGAGGCTGTTTGGAGAACATCTAGGTGGAACATTAACTCACATTAGCAATGTGGGCAGGAGATTCCTTCCTACAGAACAGAGTACAAACGTGCGTTTATTAAACACGTTAAATATTGTATAGATCTCAAGAAGTATTGTAAATTCCTTGTCCTCCAACTCCCTTCCCAATTCTGGCCCTTAAAACTTGACATAGAACTTGAGCTTCAAGGGTCTGAGGTTTTTCTGTCACTATCCTGAGTCATGAGTGACTTGGGTCCTCTCCTTAACCCCCAGATCACTGCCCCACAATCCTCCAAGCCTCATCTTGTTTTTCTGGGGTAGAGAGGAAACACAGCTAATTCTTCCCTCCTGAAACTCTGACAAGGAGCCGTGGAGGAGGCAGGAGACACATCCTTTATTGTGGGTACCCTGGTCAGCTAATTCTTCCCTCCTGAAACTCTGACAAGGAGCCGTGGAGGAGGCAGGAGACACACATCCTTTATTGTGGGTACCCTCGTCATTGTCACAACTGTGACAGATAGCACACCTGAGTAGAGCGACATCTGAGACCAGATATGAAAGTGTTGTTTTGAATAACAAGGTTCTGAGAACGAGAGAATTTCTCCAAAGGAGAGAGGAAAAAGCCAGGGTAACAAAAGCCAGAATCCCAGAGGACAGGTTAGAGTTGCCTGGGACTCTCACAGGTCAAAGGTACTTGCCCTGTTTTGGGGAGATAGCTTTGAGGGGAAGTGCTCACATTCAGCTGGGTCCTTGGAGGGATCAACAAGGCTAATGCATTGACCTTCACTCAGAAGAGCAGCCTCCCATGTCTACTTGTCAGGGTGAGGTGAAGCAACCCCCACTATTGAAACCTTGCTTTTAGGGACTTTTAGAGAGTTCCAGTTTGAGTTACTTATTCTAATGTTAAGGAGTCTGAAACCTCACCCCCCTTTCCTCCCAACCCTGGGCCCGTGGTATATAGAAAGGTCTTAGATTTTAGTTCCAAGAATCCAACCTAGTAGAACCTAGAACCGCTATCACATGCAAATGAACTCTCTCAGCCTCAGAGCCAAGACTAGTAAGTTCTCATGAAGAATAAGATCCCCTTGAACAACAGGATGCAATGGGCACTCCTCTATAATCCCAGGCAAGAGTTCTGTAGATTCAGGATCAGCCTGGGCTAAATAGCAAGGCCATCTCAAAACCAAGGTTTCTTTGGTCCAACCTTGCACACAATTAGTGTACAAGAAGTAGTACTGGGGATAGATCTTTTTCATGAATTAAGATTGTTTTTTATTCCAAAGGTCCCGTGTTCAATTCCCAGCAACCACATGGTGGCTCACAACCATCTGTAATGAGGTCTGATGCCCTCTTCTGGCCTGCAGGCATACACACAGACAGAATATTGTATATGTAATAAATATTTAAAAAGTTTTAGCTGGGTGATGGTAGCACACGCCTTTAATCCCAGTACTTGGGAGGCAGAGGCAGGTGAGTTCGAGGTCAACCTGGTCTACAGAACTAGTTCCAGGTCAGGCTCCAAAGCTACGGAGAAACCCTGTCTTGAAAAACCAAAAAAAAAAAAAAAAAAAAAAAAAGTTTTTATTCTTGCATATTTTGTACTTTTATTCAGTAGATCTTGATCCTGTCCTTCTATCATTACCTGTTTGCAATTCCCCAAGTAGCCAAGGGTGATCTTAAACTCCTGACCCTCCTCCTTCCCCTCCCTTACTGCAGAGACTACACCTGTCCTCTCAGTCTGTCCTCCCAGTCTGTTTTGCCATTTTATGGTGATCAGTCAGGAAGTGGATCCCTGGCATTTGACTTTACCAAACCTGATCAGTTATTTTTCACAAACTCACCACGTACGCGTGTAGTTCACACACCTCGGTTACACACACTGCGGGAAGGGGGGGGGGCAACACCCTGAGCTGGAATGAGCATTCAGTGTGCCAGTGGACTGCTGAATGAACCAAGGGTTTTATTCGAAATCTTTAAAACTTTGAGGAAATGGGGTGGAAAAGAGTGCTTTGCTGTGTAAGCCTGAGAGCTGAGTGTGTCTGATCCCTGGAGCCCACATGAAGATGGAAGAGAATCAACCCCAGAAAGTTGTCTTCTGACCTCTTTGTGCATGCCCGTACTCACATCACACTGGCAGGAAGATCAGAAATTGAGTCACCTTTGGTAGTTTGCCAGCCTGGGCCACTTGAGACCATGCCTCAAAAACAATAAAGCCCTCACCTGAGACCATGTCTCAAAAACAACAAAGCCCTAAAGTCCTCTTTCCCAGCACTACCTCTTCTCCACTGGCTTTCTCCTGCTGCCGGACATGGAACCAGAAGCTGGGCAGAAAGGGGGAGGGACGGGATGGCAGAGCTTTTCCTGCGAGAACCTGCCTACACCTGGACATCCCAGCCATCTGTCTGTAGCTCTCACTTCCAGCCTCCCCACCAGGGTCTCCATTCCATGGAGGGCACTCAAATCATCATCCCATGCATGCGGGTTGTTTTTAAATGGACTTCAAGGTCAAACGGGTTCAGAAAATGATCACTTGGGCAAATAAGAGGGAGCTCAATTTCTCATATGTTTTTGTGTGATTCAAATTATGAGTCTGATCTTTTAAAAGACATTTCTGCAGGACTCCCAGAAGTGGTGGCTCAGTAAGGCCACTTGCACTCGTTAGAAAGCCATGTTCTACTGTAACCCAGCAAGGGTGTGTGTGTGTGTGTGTGGTCTGTGCACAGAAAAACCAGCTCTAGGTTCAGTAAGAAACCCTGTCTCAGAGGAATACAAAGGAGGGTGTTCACACACCCAATATCCTCTTCTGGGCTCCATGAGCACAGGTACACCACACACACTTAAAACTGTCATATGTGGTAAGCAATATCTTACGTATAGAATAAAGGGTCAAAATTCTTTAGGAACCAGAAATTTTATTTACTCCACCTTCCTTTATTAACATTCCAAACACTATAAACCAAATTAATCTCTTTGTGACCCAGGCTTGGAATAGAAACCATCAGTAACAAAACAGTGACAGACCTTAGCCTGTTTTTTCCAGCCCCCTTTAACCTCCAGCTGTCACCTGTCCCTTCTTGGTTAATTATCTCTTAATTCTCACCCCTGTGAAATAGGGACCAAAAGTACCAACCTCAGTATTCTGAGATTTAAAAAGACGGCCCAATGGTAAATAAGCCAAGCTCTGAGGAACCTTCCAGCTCCAGTGGTTCCCACTCTCTGGTAGAGCGCCTTCTCTGGTCCCAGGCTGAGAAACCAAGCACACAGATCTAAAGACCAAGTAAGAGCCTGGATGGTAAAGTGCGTGGGCTTGTGACCACCACTAGCCGCATCCAGCCTCAAGGCTTCCAAGGCTCATGTCCCCTGTGGATGGCTCCTGACTGGAGACTCTCAGTTCCCCTTGCCACACCTGGAACCGTATGAAGGACACAACAGAAGCCAAAGACAGTAACCAGCCCCATGGACAACATTGGTGAAGCAACTGCGAAGCTGGTGACATGTGCTCTTGGGAAAGAAGCAGGGCCTGGACCAAGGATGGCAGCTGGAAGGTGAAGGGCAGTCCCGGCTCTCAGTAGCGGTAGTGATCAGGCTTGAAGGGGCCATCAATGGGCATGCCCAGATACTGGGCCTGCTTCTCAGTCAGCTTGGTCAGCTTCACATTCAGCTTGCCCAAGTGGGCTTCGGCCACTGCCTCATCCAGCTGGAGAGAAACAGAAAAATCTGGAGTTAGTGTCATGTTCTAGTACACTTACCTGCACCTAGCCAACAGAAACTGCTGGGGGTGGGGGCTGCAAGTCCTCATTATACCTTGTTCTAGCCTCACGGCCAGCTTCACAGTGTGATGTCTTAGCTGCCCAGAGAACCAAGCACACCCTCCCATCATATAGTTCTGGTGGCACCACCAGTCGCATCTCCTCACCCTCTAACTAAAGCAGCTAGCCAGAATGCATCCTGAAATGAACTATGGCCTAGGACATGTTTTATTATCAGCTGAGGCACTCTCTGACACTCTGCCTACATCCCAGCCAGAGTGCTTTTACATTCCCAAGCAGTTTTATGTTCACTGTTCTTGGAGCTTCACAGCATTCCCAAGATGTAGGAAGGGATGGATGATGCCTACATCAACAGACAAGGAGCCTAAAGAAAGTGCTTAACGGTTCAAGCTAGATGCAAGTAAAGGCAAGATGGGCTTAACCTGGAATCCCTATTGTTAGAAGCAGAATGAAGGCCTCCTATGCCTGGCCAGTCTAGCTCGGGACACCTTTCTTCTCACAGCACCCTACCAGTGTGCCACATAGGGGTGACTACCTGGGCAGCTGGAGCCGGATTCCCAGGAGAGCACACCAGCCTCTAAAGCTTGGTTTCCTCATTTGGAGGGCACACATAATAAATACCCACCTTTGAAGCTGTCACAAAGATCATGGTGCCTCCTATCATCATTAACTAAGGTACCAAAGAACCCTTAGATGCATGCATCTTACAGACATGCCCAGCTGACCACCCAAGTGCTAGGATGCAGCTAAGGGATGTTCATGTAGCATGTAGGAGAACCTGGGCTCCAGGTCCAACACCACAAAACGAACAAACAAAAACCCAAGACAAGCTCTTGCCTTTAATCCCAGTTCTCAGGAGGCAGAAGCAGGCAGACCTAGGAGTCAAGGCTAGCCTAGTCTACACACTGAGATCCAGGTCGATCAGGGCAATGATAGATTCTGTCTCAAAATCAAAGATGAACAAACCAAATGGGGCACATCCATTTTTTTAAAAAAACTACAATATGTTGCCCTTTTTTAAAAATTATTTCATATCAAGACCTTAGCATATGGCTTCTCTTCAAAGCTCAGAGGCCTTGTCTGGTAGAGCTGTGTCCTGGGCTTGTGACAGCCGAGTGATAGCCACCCCTTTACTTGGCACATATATTCTTCAACTGTTCACCTCCCACCCGGCCTACTTTACCAAGTACCCGCCCAGTCCTTGCAGACATGTGGAAATCCTCGCCGATATTCAGGAAAGTGCTCTTGCCTTCCCTTTACAATTGAGGAATGGAGACACAGCTCCAGACCTGTGAGCCACACTCCACAGCTCATGGCACTATGGGTGTGGCTCCAGGGAGCACTGAGGACTCTGGAGGACAACGAAGAGGGCATACAGATAAACACTTAATATGCTCTAGCAAACCCACACAGGGAGCCCAGGAACCAGCACATAAGCCTTGGTTTGCAGTAAAGTCAAGAGCTTACCTTCTTAGGCAAGAAGTGAACCCCAATGGGGTATTTATCTGGGTGGGTCCACAGCTCAATCTGTGCCATCACCTGGTTTGTGAAGGAGTTGCTCATCACAAAGCTGGGATGGCCCATGGCACAACCCAGGTTGACCAGTCGGCCTTCAGCCAGCAGGATGATTCGGCGCCCATTCTTCAGCCAATAGCGGTCCACCTGCAAGTCCCCAGGGCAACAGTAAGGGCTGGTGGGCACTACCCATCTCTGCCCACCTCCTACCCTGCATAAGATGACCTGAAATGCCCCCAAACAACCACCCTACAGAGCTAGCACATACAATAAACCAGTCTGTTCTGAGAACTTAATGAATTCAGACAGACCTATAAAGCATTTGGCATACTTAGGAGGTAACAGCGAGTACTGTCATTACTGCCATATAGCCTGTATTGAATCCTTTATACATATATGACTATCATTTTTTAAAATTTATTTTTATTTTATGTGCACTGGTGTTTTGCTATGGGTGCCAGGTCCCCTGGAACTGGAATTACAGACAGCTGTGAGCTGCCATGTGGGTGCTGGAAGAGCAAGCAGTCAGTGCTCTTAACCACTGAGCCATCTCCCCAGCCCCATATGACTATCATTTAAGTGCTTCATCTTCCCCTTTCACAAATAAACTGAAGTTTACAAGGCTGAGTCACTTGTTCAGAGCTACACACTAGGCTGCAATCTGAGCCTTGACCATTGGAGGGAGGCCTGGTCTCATGTTCTCAATTGTCATTAAAAAGCTGAATGCAGGATGGTGAGATGGCTCAGTGGGTAAAGTTGCTTGCGTTCAATCCCTGAGAACCACACGGTGGAAGGGGAGAATCAACTATGATAGGCTCCTCTAACCTCCACATGCAAGTATATATGTGCTTACACACACATGAACATAAAATGACTGAGTAAAATGTAGCTTTGTGTGTGTGTCAGTATATATACATATGTTAGTATCAGTGTGGGTGTATATGTGTATACACACACACACACACACACATATGTCAGTATAAATACATATATTTGATCAAATGCAAGGCTGGAGATGTGGATCACTTGGTAAGAGAATGCTTGCCTAGCTTACATGAAGCACTGGGTTTAATCTCCAGCTCTACAAGGCAAAAAAGAACTTAACTTAAAAGCTCTTAACATACAAATCCAAAAAATTTTCTGGGAACATTACTTTTATAATCAGGTAAATAAATAAACCAACAATAAATAAAAGCCAAATTAAGTTGATAAACCCCAAAGGAATGCCCTGCAGCAAAGCTGTCCTTTCTCTAGCTCAATTAATGGCTTACTCTGCACAGAACTGTTCTAGACAGACATGCAATGTCCCTTTCCTGGCCTCCCCCATCCTGACCCTGCTGCCAGCTCAGCCCACGCCCTTCAGCTGCCCGCATGCCTGCCTGGCTGTGAGCACCCTCAGGGCCTTATCTCTTTGTTCACCGCTGTATGTGATCTGCACTCACAAGCACAAGTGGGCTTTCTCATACAGCAAGGTCACTGTGCACCGCACACATGCTGATACCTTCAAGGGCAACTGAGACCTCAGCATCAACTCTGATACCTCAAACCTAGCTCTGAAACCAGAATTCTCCAACGTACACCCCACTCTCTAGGTCACACCAGCTTCCATGGCGGGCAACCTGCAAGCCTACTCCCCCTCCTCAGCCCTTCACTGCCAGCGCGGCGGAGAAGGCCGGGGCTTCTCACCTGGGGCTTGATGTTCACCTTCTCCACAGCATTCTCATTGAGCCACTTCACGTCAATCTCCACATCAAAGTGTCCAATGTTACACACAATGGCATCATCCTTCATCTGCTCAAAGTGCCTGGAAGGGAGCCCAACCCTGTGAGAGAGCGGAGACCAAGAACAGCCCCAGCCTGTGTGCCTTTGCTCCCTAGGACTCCCACCCGGTACCTACCGGCCAAGGATGATGTCAACACAGCCTGTGGTGGTGACAAAGATGTTGCCCTCCTTACAGGCCTCATCCATGGTGGTCACCTCATAGCCTGCACGGACAGTGAGCGTGTGTTAGCAAAGGTGGCCTCACCCTTGTTCTAGCCCCAACAGCCAACCCTTACTCTACCATACCCTCCATGGCAGCTTGCAGTGCATTGATGGGGTCAATCTCGGTGATGATGACTCGGGCCCCAAAACCCCTCAGGGCCTGGGCACAGCCCTTGCCCACGTCACCATAGCCTGCTACCACTGCCACCTTGCCCGCAATCATCACATCTGTGGCCCGTTTGATGCCATCTATGAGGGACTCCCGGCAGCCATAGAGGTTGTCAAACTTGCTCTGAAAGGAGAAGGGGCGAGGGGACCATGGGGACAGGCAAGACCCTGAGGCCAGGCCTTAAAGCATCCCACAGGGCTGAGACTTGAGCCCACTCAGTCAGCCTGGACAGACCCCTAAGAATCTTCTCCACTAGACAAAGCCAATATGTCCTTCCTCCTCATCAGCCTCATTGTTCTCTGCTGGTCTAGAAGTCTTTCTAGGAAATCAATGCCCAGGACAGGTTGCTGAGTCTAAGAATTGCTTAACTTTGAAGCTATTGCTAACCAAAGCCACAATATCCCTGCACAGCTGTGACCCAGCACACTCACCATCCTCAGACTGTTGCCCCATCTCCCCTCCTGGCCACCCTTCTTCAGAGATCCACTCCTCAGCTCACTGGGCAACTAACAACGGGAGCTGACTCTTCCCCAGGGCTCACCTTGGTGACAGAATCATTGACATTGATGGCAGGCACCTTCAGTATCCCATTGGCCATCATCTTGTAGAGGTTGTGGACCCCAGTCGTGGTCTCCTCAGAGATGCCTCGGATGCCTGAACGAGAGAGGGACAGCATCAGAGAAGACATCTCTACCCATAACCCTTTCACTCCCTAGTGTCCCCTCTCCTTCAGTTCACTCAGTCACCGTGGCCAGCAAAAGGGAGGCACCATCTGCTGTCCTACAGAATCCTAATGACGCACGCCCCCAACATCTTCCACCCAGCACTGTGCAGTGCTGACACCATGCCCAGTCGTCCTGTCCCAGCCTAGAGTACTCTCCAGAGAAGGCTCCCTTCATTTACTAGCCATGGCTAGTTTCGTACAGTCAATCTTTTCCTACCTCAGGGCCTTTTGTACTCTCCAAACTCCATCCTCCTCCTCCCTGTCACAGTCAACAAAGCTGTTTCTCTGTGACCATTCCTAGCCCTGCCCTGCGCCGGCCTTGGCTTATAAACTCAGCCAGCTCTATCCCCACCCCAATTACCCTGGCTTTACATCACAGGTCAGAAGACAGCCTCCATGCCTGCAGGAGCCTCCTGTCTTCCAGTTCTATGGAGAATCCGTGTCTGTGAAGGAGCAGGCTCCCTTCAGCCCACCTGCTTACCTGACAGAAGTTGCGGGTATTTGGTGTGGATGAGGTTGGTGAGGTCGCCACCATCGTCCAGAATCATGTTGAGGGGGCCGTCTTTGAAGTGCAGTGTCTGCTCAATGCACCACAGGTACTCTTCGTCCGTCTCACCCTTCCAGGCAAACACTGGAGGAGAGCGGCACATGAGAGCCAGCCGGCAGGGGGGAGCCATTGCTGTGTCCTTCCTAGTTCCCATGCCTAGCTACGTCCAGCCCTTACCAAAACAGCAGTGGGAAATACACAGCCCAAAGCTAAGCAGATCTAAGCCCAAACCCTGGCTCAGAACTTTCCAGCCATGTGACCTTGAGAAACTCATACGACACAGTTTCCTCCTCTATAAATGCGGCCTGTAATAGCGTACATCAAGTGACACAGAGACCGTGCATGGCCCTAGACATAGGTGTCCAGAAATAATTTTCCCTTTTGCATCTCCTTCTGCCTGGGCTCCATGAAGTAGGGGTACTGGCCCCTACAGAACAGGACTCCCACCCAGAGGGACATCCAACTCACTGGGCACCAGTAAGATCCTGGTTTGCTCACTGAAAGGTCTTGAGGGACTGGCAGTCTCAGTGGTGGGTAACTCCAGGTTATGCCTGGTCAAAGTTGCCCAGCACATGCTACTATAGATGGAGCCTCCTCTGTGCCAGGCACAGTAACTGCTCTGGGTCCGTTCTCAGGTTCCCCCATGCAAACCCCAAGAGGAAGCATTGCCATCACCACTTATAAAACCCTAAGAGAGACTAGGGAACGCAGCACTGAGCCCTGGAAAGCAGCGCCTGAAGCAAGGGCGCAGGCTGCTGGCTGCTGCTCCTCCCAGCATGTGGAACTCCACAGGTGTAGGGTGCAAGAGTCTCCTGTTTACACAGGACACTGGCCAAGTAGCCGGCTGCCTCCCTCCCCACAATTGTAGAAGATAATGCTGTTAAAGCAAGGCCTCTTCTGAAGGAGGGCCTCTGAGCCTCGCCAAGGTGGGGAGTGCTGACAGGCACTCAGCCCTGTGAGGAATCCCTCCCACTGACCCCCTACCTACAGCTCCTGCCCCCAAATGTATGAGTGTTTTGTCTACAAGAATGTCACTGTACCCTGTGCTTGCCTGGGGCCTGAGGAGGACAGAAATTATATTGATTTCCTGGGTCTGGAATTACATACAATCGTGAGCTGCCATGTGGGTGCTAGGAATTGAACCCGGGTCCTCTGGAGGAACAGCCAGTGCTCTTAACTGCTGAGCCATCTCTCCAGTCCCCTGATAAAGTTTTGTTTTGTTTTTGGTTTTTCAAGACAGAGTTTCTTTGTAGCTTTTGAGGCCTCTTCTGGAACTCTACAGAAACCAAGATGGCCTCAAACTCACAGAGGTCCACCTGCTTCTGCCTCCCGAGTGCTGGGATTAAAGGTGTGTGCCACCACCGCCCGCTTAAAGATTCTTGTATACTTTATTTAATCTAACAAGTCCTATCAGCCCTACTCCCACCCTGCCTCAGTCCAGACAGACATGTACCATTCTGCAACAGTCTGAGACAAAGTCTTTGCTCTTTAACCTGGTCGCTCCTAAACTACCATACCTCAGTCAGTGCACCTGAGACTCTTGTTCTGCCTTACGCCTCACCAGTTCCTTAGAAAATGATCCAGAGTCCCCCTAAGGGACGTCCCCACCCTCTGCTCCATGTGGCTCCCAATCTTCAGATCCTTTCCTTCGAGACCACAAGCTCAGCGGTCAGTAAGTACCTTCCATGGGGTCTGAGGTGGGAGGACTATAAATCAATAGGCTAAGGGCCTCTGTTTGCACATGGAAGCCTTTACTACAGGGGTCAGTGAAAAAGCAAAGTGCTTTATCCATGCCCACATACCCCACAGCGAGCCCGCTCACCTGGAATGCCAGCCTTGGCAATGGCAGCTGCTGCATGGTCCTGCGTGGAGAAGATGTTGCAGCTGGACCACCGCACCTAGAAGGGCCAGGAAAACAAGGCTGTTGGGCACTGGTGACTATGAAGCATCCTGTTAGGAATAGGAAAAGGAAAGCCCTGAAGCCAAGAGTGAAAGGCTGGGGACTCTGGGCAAGTGAATGACTAGAAGCCAAAGCAGTAAAAAGTTATCACTAGAGCTAAAAAAAAAAAAAAAAAAAAAAAAAGGCAACAAATCACCGAGCCAAGCATGGTGGTACACCTATATTCCTAAGATTCAAGAGGTAGTGGCAGGAAGATCAGGGCTATATGGGGAATTCCTGGCCAGCCTGAGTTATACAGTGAGATTCTGACTCAGTACACAAACTAGAAAGATGGCTCGGCAGTTAAGGCACTTGCTGCTCTCCTAGAGGACCCTGGTTTGGTTCCAGCACCCACACTGCAGCTCACAACCACCCATAGCCCCAGTTCCAGGGGACCAGCAGAGGGAAATGGTGAGAAAACCCAGGTGACCAGAAGAGGCTCTGCCAGCTACATCTCCTACCAATTCAGTCTTTTCCCGTGGTTGAGCCCAAAGAGGGCAGGGACAGCTGTGGACCTCACCTCAGCACCCAGGGCCACGAGAGTCTCAATGAGGACGGCAGTCTCCACAGTCATGTGCAGGCAGCCAGCAATGCGGGCACCCTTCAGTGGCTTGGACGCCGAGTACATCTCCCGCATACGCATCAAACCGGGCATCTCGTTCTCGGCTATGTCCAGGGCCTTTCGTCCCCAGGCAGCCAGTCCAATGTCCGCTGCAGGAACAAGAAGGCGAGTTCCATGAGCCACCACCACCCCCCCCCCCGCCACCCAGGGTCATGTTTACCTTTGGGGAGCTCAGGTCTTCTCACTCACCCTAGAAAATGACAGGTGAAGAAAGGAGGCTGCTACAGAAATACTTTATTCTCTCTCTCTCTCTCTCTCTCTCTCTCTCTCTCTCTCTCTCTCTCTCACACACACACACACACACACACACACACACACACACTGACCCCAGGCTATCAACAATGAGAGCTCCTTCAGAAATCTGAATTTCAAACAACCACCTTTGGCCGTGTCTTCTCCATATACATTACCAACTGGGAGCAGTTCAGACTCTCTAAAGCATTGGTTTTATTAATTTCTGGTGTCCCTTACCCCGTCCCCTTCATGATTTCCCCTTCTTTTTCCAGTTTAGGATACCCTGCTCTCTTAGCCTCTGGGACCTCACTTGGTGAAGCTCACACCCGAAGCTAGGTGGGTGGCTTCATGCCTGGAATCCCAGCACTAGGGAAGCTGAGTGCCATGGTTTTGAGGTCATCCTGAGCTTCACAGAGACCTAGTCTCAAAAACCAAAGTTTCCACCTAGTTAGAGCCATCTCTCCACTGTACCTAAGGCCTGAACTAGCAGAATTGCAGTCACAGGATGAAGGTCTTGCTTACTATAAACATATAACTCAAGGGATACCTGGCACATCCTAGCAATCCCACTACATTTTCCTAGTAAGTTTATCCCCTCCTCCTCACCCCATCGACTGATAATATCACTTCACACTTCTCTGAGGATACAAAATCATCCATCCATGAACTCCACCATCCTCTGTGATTAGACTGGGCATTCTTGGCTGTCAGAAAGGACCAGCTGTCCCTGGTCCCTAATTTTTCTCACCCCTCAGATCTCAACTGTTCCATTACGGGCACCACTGAGGTGATTACTTATGCTCAGGTTTCTCACAGGAGCAGGGACCCCACTACCGACTCTGAAATGCTTGCTTTCCCTTGGCATCCGATTCTCCCTTCTCCCTCCTTCCTTCCTGGCTGCTCTTCACCTGATATACTCTAGGAGGCCTGGGGTCCCTCTCCAACTCCTGCCAATTAAGTTCTATTCAGATGATTGTAAATGCCTTCCCTCCAACTCCTGCCAATTAAGTTCTGTTTGGATGATTGTGAATACCTTCCCTGGGGTGATGACTCCCACGTATTTACCTCCAGTGCAAACTTCTCCCAGGAATTTGAGACTCACAAAATCCAACTGCTGACTCAGCACCTCTGGACTGGTGTCCAATTATTATCCACCAAGTACGAGGCTTCAAGACTGCTTGGCCACACACCCTCAATCTTCCCATTTTAGGAAATGAAACCACCACTCAATCTGCCACTCCGGCCAAAAACCTGTATGTAAGATTTCCCGCTTCCATTTTTGCTTCTGTCAGCATGTTTTTTGTTTGTTGTTCCTGAAACTCTGTGAAACTCACTATGTCGAGCAGCCTGGCCTCAAACTCACAGATAACTAACTGCCTGCCCCTGTGTCCCAAGTGCTGCGGTTAAAGGTATGGGCCACTATGCCCCACCTCCACCAGCTTGTTTGTCACCGAGCATCCCACCCTAGCCTAAAGGACCACTTCTCAGCTGGACCCACAAGCAGCGTCATAGTTGGTCCCCTTTGTTCCCACATATGACGCTCCTCACTTACAGCCCAGGGAGAAACTTCTAAAAATGTAAAATCCTAGTCCTGACCTGGGCCTCAGGCCCCTCCCGAGTCTACCACCCGCTTCTCTCCACCTTGTTCTGTCACTAGCAGCTCAGCCACAGACCTCTCCCCTCATCGCGCTTGAACACAAGCAGTTAACCGGGAAGACTAATGCCAGATGCAGTACCTGGCTCAAAACACCTGGAAAGGGAGGGGCTGGAGAGACGGTTAACGGTTAAGACCACTGACTGCTCTTCAAGGGAACTGGGGTTCAATTCCTAGCAGGTCACAGAGCGTCACAACCGTCTTTAACTCCAGTTTCAGGGGATAGAACGTTTTCTTCTGGCCTCCGTGGGCACCACACGTATGTGGTACAGACACGCATGCAGGCACAACACCCATACACATATAATAAAAATGAGAAAGCAAAAAAAAACTTGAAAATGGGCCAAGCTGACTCAAAACAGAAGCATTAAGACGAGTCAGGACTTTACTCGCAGTGAGGTAGGTCATCTACAGAGTTCCAAAGGAGGTATCATTTGTCTTCTGAAAGAGCCTACTGGCCCACTATAACGACATGTACCTATAAAAATCAGTGCTCTGGAGGATAAAGGAAGTTTAATGAGTTCAATGCCAGCTGAGGCCCAAAAATCAAGCAAACAAAATGGTAGCATGAAGACCATAGAGACCTGTGGGGAGAGAGGAGAACGGGGCTGGCAGGCATGAAGAGTGAAAGGTGACAGATCTCCCACACAAGGAGGCTGTGCTACACTATTTAGGTCTATCTGCCTCAACCTTGTAGCTGGGTCACTTCTATATCTCCAGTGACCAGCAAAGAGAAGGAACTCAGAAAATGTTTACTGCTAAAACTAAATGAGCAAAGATTCATAGAGGGTTGGCCCAGGACAAGGATGGCAAAAAGGAAGAAAAGGAGGGAAGAAAGGAGGAAGAGAGGGAGGGAAGGATGGAGGGAGGGAGATGAAGCTAGTCTAACTCCCAGCATTTATAGTCTCCAGCCAGTCAGAGGCCGGACTCAAGGCCTTCCTGGAGAGGACAACGGGTTTTGTGCTTTCCTGCTTAAATCCCATTCCATCTACTATCACCTGTCCCTCTAGCTAGAAATGATTCTTTCAAAGCCCCTGTGACCAAACTCTGGAGCTTGGTGCCAAGAGAACCAGAGGTCGCAGAAGTTCCCAGAAACACAGGTCAAAAAGAACAAGTCAAAAGGACCTGTGTGTCCCTTCCCAAACCTGCCTCATCAGACTGAGGATAATCAGGCCGAGCCTTACTGTACACCCAAGGATTAGAACACCACACGGACAAGGTCTAGTGCACAGCATGCCCTCCTTAGTGGACCTCCACCCCGAAAGTCAAGACCCCAGCCTCCAAATCCAGCCTCCTATTCATTCAAGCTGTGGTCCTCCAACCCCTTCTCAGTAGGACAAGTTCCCATTCTAGCTGTTCCACCAGGACAACACTGACTTAAACCTTTCTGGGCCTCAGTTTCAGCTTCTACTCAATGGAGACAATAATCTACTCTGGCAGCTGGTTAACCATTTTAATAAGAATTTTCCAAGAGACTTCCTCAGGTTCCTCCTCGGTATAATGGGGTAGCATCCATTTCATGCTCGTGACCCTCCCCAATTTTATGGCGTCTTGAAATGACCTTAAAAGCCAGCCAGCCTGAATTGCTTTGGTTTTGTTTGTTTGGTCTGTAGTTTGGTTCTGATAGGGTCTCCCTGTTTTGTCCAGGTTGGTCTGGACTTCACTGTGCGCCGCAGAAGTGAACGCTGGCATTACAAACCTGTGTCACTAAGCCTAGCCTGAACTGAACTGTGCTGAAATTTCATTAGGGTTGTTCCAAGAGTGTTTGTTCCCTTGCATACAGACAGCAGCGAAAGGGATGAGCCCTGAGGTCATGACGTATTGGGTACAAATTCTAGCCAACCGCTTCCCAGTTGCAAGATTCTGGGAAAATAACCTCTATACCTCTGGAGTTTCATCGTAAAAGGAGACTCGTTCCTTCCCTAAGGAGCTATAATAATAAAAAGGATTAGTCTAGAATAATGTTACAAGGCGGTGCCGAGCCCATTGGAAACACTCAACTGAACGTTTGTTTACTCAGTCATCCTTCCATCACCGGAAGGAAACGAAGAGGAATTTTTAAGCACTCTAAATTTTCTTTTGGTCATCCACCAGATATAGTCCCACAGACTGAGCTGACCCCAAGTCCCCAGTGCACCGGGGACTTGCCTTCCGGGCCTCTCCTCACTAACACCTGAAACACCAGCGCGCTCTCCGGCCCCGCTCAAGGCCCGAAAGGTGGTGGACCCTTTTTGGGGGCCACACAGCCCGCCAGATGCCGGAGCCAGACCCGCTAGGGCCGCTTCCCCAAGGGCCAGTCTCTCCACTAGCAGCACGCTGCCTAACCAAGAATGGTAGCCCGCGCCACGGCTCGGGGCGCCTGCTGCAGGGCACGCCGGGACTTGTAGTCCGTGGCTGCTTCCCACTCCTAGTTCTCGGCGGAGCGTGGACTCCAATCCCCAGGCACCTGCGCGGCCTAGGGGTCCCGGGCGCCCCGAGGCCGGTGCCTCGACCAGACGTGGGTTGGTACGGACAACAAGCCCAGGGTGGGGAGCCGAGTCGCCACGAAGGACTGCACCCCTGGGACTCACCGACTTTGTAGGGCAGTTTTTCAGACATGCTGGCGGCGCTTCCGCTAGGACTGATGAACTCAGTGAAAGGGGCCGGACGGCGTGGGGCAGGGATCTACGCCTGGCGCCGGCGGCTTTAAATATCTTCTAATTTGAATATTCATGAGTCTCGTTGGGGCTGAGACTTGGGGGCGGAGTCTGGCTCGAGGTGAATAGCTGTGCAGCAGCGGGGTTGGACTTCGATCCCTCCCACAAAAATTATAAATTTTATGCTGTGTGACCTTTGGACTCCTGGCACCCGGCTGGAAGGGAGCGTGGAGAGAGGCGGTTCTTCTCCCATTCGTTCAATCAGTGAACCAGAGGTCAAAACGATGCAGAACTTTCAGGCCAATTTACTTCACTGAGCCTTAATTTCTTCTGGTATATTTGGCCGAAGACTACCAGTACAGAGCTGGGTCTAATGGTACATGGCCTGTAATCCCAACTCTCGGGAGACAGAGCCAGAAGGATCGTCACAAGTTCAAGGCCAGTCTGGTCTACAACTAGTTAGTTCCAGGCCAGCTTGGGCTCCAGAGTGAGGTTTCAAAAAGAAAGTTAAGAAAAATTACAAGTTGCAATGTGTCCCTCTCTCTTCCTCCCTCTCTTGCCCACCCCCACTCCCTCCTCAATAAGTCCCCGTTCCACTATCGTGTCTTTTCGTTGTTTCTGTTTGGTGACCCCCAACCGCCCACACGGAAATGAGTGTAGTGCTTTCCACAAGAGCAAAGGCAGCTAGCCAATGGCTCAGCGGCCATAACTGCCAGTAGCTTTCCTGAAGGAGCCAGGCGCCGCGTTGTGTGCAAACACCCACCATCTCTGGGGAGTTCAGCTGGCCCCCTTGTGAACGGATTGTCCCAGCCGGACTTGTTTACTGTTTATTACATCTCTTCGTGGAGCAGAAAGGAGGGTCACAAGCCCTCCCCTGAGTCTTCAGTTGCACCTACTACCTGCTGTGTGCAACTCTGCCTTAATTGAACATGATCTCAGGAAGGGGTTGGAGATTATAACCAGGGAAGGGGGCTCCAGCTACCTGGCTACTGGAGAATCCCTCAAACCTGTTGGATAGAAGCTTTCCAGGTGTCGCCTTCAGGGGGACAACTTAAGAACCCCTCACCTGTGCTTTGTCAGGAAGCTCAGTGAACTGTTTCCCCAGAGTCATCTTTGGCAGAATCGTGACTCTGTTTATGTGGGGAAAAGAGCAGACTTTGCCTATGTACCTCCTGAGAAGGAATATTAGCAACATCTTACAAGGCCCTCCCCCAATCATGACTGAATGTTGCTGGGATCTTGTGCAGGTCCTCAGCCGTGACCCAGGGCTTCTGTATCAGTTCCTATTTCCAGGTTCCTGCCCTGAGTTCCTGCCGTGACTGCTCTCAGTGATGCATTCTTACTTGGAAGTGTAAGTTGAAATAAACTCTTCCCCAGGTTGCTTTTGGTCGTGGTGCTTACCGAAGCAGCAGAAGCAATCTAGGACACCCTCCCTCTCCCTACTCCACCCTCTTTCCTTTCCCCCCTGCCCCATCCTTGTTACCCCATTGCCACCTCAGGTGCTGAGTCTCCAAATAATGCACAGCCTGAAGATTTAATCCCCATCTCTGCTCATTGGCCTCCATAGTGACAAGTATCACAAACTCTACTATTACAAAACCATGAACCAAAATCAATCTCTCCTACACACACACACACACACACACACACACAAACACACACACCACCACCACCACGACCACCACCACCACTCTTCCCTTTCCTTTCTCTCTCCTCTCTTCTTTGTTTTCTCTCGTCTGTCATCTCCCCTCCATCCAAACCATTATGTAGTCCAGACTAGTCTTGAACTCAATATGTTGCCCTGTCCCACCTCAAACTTGAGATCCTCCTGCCTCAGCTTCTCAAGTACTGAGATTACAGGCTTGGCCTAACCATTTCTCCTGGTAAACTGATTGTCTGGAGTATGTTGTTATAGTTACAGAAAACTAACTAACACAGAAGTGTTCTTCTGTTTTCTAAAACAGACTATATAGAATGCCTATTAACGCTTATAAAAACTTCTATTTGTACTATGTGTGTGCCCTTGAGATTATGTGCACCACCTGTGTGCAGGTGCCCTTGGAGGCCAACGGGGACCAGATCCCCTAGAACTGGAATTACAGGGAGTTGTGATCTACCTGATATGGATCAACTTAGAAATCAAGCCTGGGTCCTCAGCACAAGCTGTAGTCACTCACAACCACTCAGCCTTCTTTCCAGTCTCTATCAACTCTAATCTTTTGGTTTAGTTTTGTTTTGCTTTGTGACAAGGTTTCTCTATGTAAGAGCTTTGGCCATCTTGGCACTCCTTCTGTAGACCAGGCTAGCCTCGAACTCACAGAGATCTACCTATCTGTCTCCTGAGTACTGGGATTAAAGGCATGTGCCAACACCGCCCAGAAACTCTCTAATCTTTAGTTGTTCTTCTCAATGAAACTACTTGGGCTTGGACATTTCTTTCTTGAGAGTGTTGAATATAAAATCAGCTTTATTTTTTTACAGTTTATTTATTTATGTATTTCTGTGTGTGCAAGCCACCACAGCTCCACAGCTTGCACGTGGGGTTCAGAGGGCAACTGTGGGGCTCAGTTCTCTCCTTTTACTTCTGTGGGTCCCAGGGATCACACTCAAAGCATCAGGCTTGGTGACGAGTACCTTTGTCCACTACGCCAGCTTGCTGACCTCTGATCTGAGTTTGTTGGGTTTTTTTTTTTTTAGAATTTATTATTTTATGTTCATTGGTGTGAGGGTCAGATGTCCTGGAACTGGAGTTACAGGCAGTTGAGAGCTGCCATGTGGGTGCTGGGAATTGAACTCAGGACCTCTGGAAGAGCAGCCAGTGCTCTTAACCGCTGAGCCATATCTCCAGCCCTGATCTGAGTTTTTTTTTGTTTTTCCAACACAGGGTTTCTGTGGCTATCCTGGAACTCACTTTGTAGACCAGGCTGGCTTCCTCTGCCTCCCAAGTACTGGGATTAAAGGTGTGCACCACCACTGCCTGGCTCTTGTTTTATTTTTTTATAACATTTAAACACTTTTATAACACTTAAACTTTGTACTCTTATTATTGTGTGCACATATGATGTATGTGTGGGTACACATGTCATAGCAAGCATATGGGTCAGAGGACAACTTCACGGAATTCATTCTGAATTTGATTTCCAGAATCCAAGTTTAGGAAACAAAACTGGGGGCTGGAGAGATGGCTTGGCAGTTAAGAACACTGACTGCTCTTCCAGAGGACCCAGGTTCAATTCCCAGCACCCACATGGCAGCTCACAACTGTCTATAAACTCCAGTTCCAGGGGATTCAACACCCTCACACAGACATACATGCAGGCAATACACAATGTACATAAATAAAAATAAATTAATAAAAAAAGAGTATTTGACAAAGAGTCTGTACAATTTAAAAGAAAAAATGACCTGAAAGCCTCCTCCAGAGAACTAAACTTCATGGTACCTGAAGGCACCATGCAAGCTTTCTAAGGAGGGAAGGAACCAATAGTTGTACTCAGCTATGACACCTTTGAACCAGAACAACAATCAACATGGCGCAATAACCCTAGGTGCAGCAGTGGCACAGGTGCCAGCCGCTCTCAAATTAGACTCACAGCCTTCTCAACAAGAAGGAAATCATGCCTGGCACTAGAAACCTGACCACCTACCCAGGGCTAGGGAAGTTGTGCATCTTGGAGGAGGACCTACAGCCGTCAGCTTACTAAACTATCACGATCGCTAACTACATCTTAAACACTTATCCTTATACCCACAGATCCGTGTGGTTCTCATCCCTCACTGAGGAATCTTTACAAAAGACAGAGACCTTTACACAAAACCACAATTGATCGAAATGCAGAAACGTTCATGGAAGAGGGGGCAGAAAGATTATTTTCGAAAGATTTATTTATTATATGTTCTGCCTGCATACCAGAAGAGGGCATCAGATCTCTTTTTCGATGGTTATGAGCCACCATGTGGTTTTCTGGGAACTGAATTTAGGACGTCCGGAAGAGCGGTAAATGCTCTTAATCTCTAAGCCATCTCTCCAGCCCCAGAAGAAAGATTTTAAGAACCAGAGAAACAAGAGGTTTGGTGTGAGATTGTGTGTTCTAGAAATGTCAGAGGAGCTACACCCATGAAGTTTCACCAGTATGGGTGTCTAAGCATCCTGAACAATAATGATACCCATAGATATCATACCATAGGAGAGGAAAAGCTCACCAAGTCCTCAACCCTAGAAAAAAACAACAGGCTACTAAGGAATGCCGAGATAGGAGAAATAGCCCTTCCCAGGGAAGATCACACCAATAGCTTATATTATCCAGTATCAGTCAGCCCTAAAAATGTATACATAGAAGTGACATTATATGGACTGGGCAGGTTGTATTTATGTATTTAGGAATATATATGTGTATGTATGTGTGTGTATGTATGTATGTATGTGTGTATGTATGTACACACACACATCAACAATTAAAGAAAAAGAGGTCATGAATTTAAGGGGGGTGGGATGGCAGGTAGCTTTATGGGGTGGTTGGAGGGAGGAAACGAAAAGGGGAAATGTTATAATTATAATATAATCTCAAAAAATAAAGTAATAATAAAAAATTCTCAAGCCAAACATGGTGGCATATGCTTTTAATCCTAGCATTTGGGAGGCAGAGGCAGGTGAATCTCTGTAAGTTCAAGGCCAGCCTGATCTACAGAGTGAGTTCCAGGACAGCCAGGCCTACACAGAGAAACCCTGTCTTACAAACAAACAAAGATTCTTCTGTGGTTCAATTCTGAAATAAAGCTTTCAAGTAACCAAGTAGAAATATAGTACCACGCACACAAGACAAAATTGGCTGTGGTGGGATGATGTGCATCTGTATTCCCAGCATGTCCCAGCAAGAATGGGAGGCAGAGACAGGAAAATCACCTAGAAGTTCGTGGAAATTTGCAAAGCTTAAGCAGAAACAAGACACCCTGACTTGAAGGTAGAAGGAGAGAACCCAGTCTTGGAAGTTGTTTTCTGACCTCTACACGTTCACTGTGGCATGTGTATGCTGGCGCGCACACACACACACACGAGTGCACACAAAA